GCTCTGCTATCAATACCAAGATCCCTCAGCAAATCTGAGACTTCAGTTCTCATGTTTAGCAACCGTACAGGGTCACAACCCAAAGACTCAACATAAACCCCATTTTCATGTTCACAACAAGCTGCAGAAGCTACAAGTGGGATTGTCAGGTTTCCTCTCAACTCCCTGTCTTGAGAACTGAGAAGTCTGAAAGCCAGATCCTGTAAGAAAGGAGAATGACAGTCAACACCATAGCTATAGAAGCACCTCCTTTGTTTAACTTGACTTTAAATAAAGGAATCACACTGTAACCCACTGCCTTCATATAACCATACACCAATTTCTCTGCACATTCATGGAAACACAATATACAGCTATTTCTGGAAGATTTTTATTAAAAATGCAGCCCACAAAGCAGAACCCCCCATAGTCAGACATGATGTACAGTGCCCAGGCATCCTGCTTTGCTACCAGAGAGGGCGGCTCAGGACTGCAAAGCCATTAATGTAGCAGCAAAGAGCCTTTCACGAGTGTCAGCATCTTCCCTCACACCAAGAGGCTTGATGCCGGCCCAGAAATGCCATCATTCAGTTTGCATCATTGGAAGCAGTTTCGAAAAGGTCAATTTATTGGAAAACTAAAGGATCTTCACCAAAACAAGCTACAGTGACAGAAGCAAACAGAATGGGCAATTTCTTACTTCCTCTCATTTGAACAAACACAGGTTTTTTCTCCAGGGCCATACATGTGTTCTGCAGAATTTGATTATCCAAATAAAAACAGTGGTAGGTCATACAGATTGTGCACATGAAAAAAAAAATCTGAAGTACTGTTTTCTAGATAGAAAGATACCTACAGGATTTACTGGGAGCAGCAACTCATACCTCTTCATACTTCTTAGAGTACAGGCACCACAGAACAAGTTCAGCATGAGGTACTTGAAATCAGAGCTTTTACTACGCAAACACATTTTTCACCCATTAAAAAAGATAGATTAGAGGAAGATATAAACATCTTATTTATTAAATCAAATAGAAATGCAAAATATATTTCACATGCCTTACATGGAAAAGAGATGAACTTCCAAGACTTTAAAGCAAAACTGTGTCAGTTGACACGCAGGAAACAGGAACATTATAAACAGTCACAAAGAGGAGGAAGGACTGGGGGGAGGTGACATGGGGGTGCTCGGAAGTTCCTCCCCACTCTGAGAAAGATTTCCTAAAAACAAGAATGGAGTTTATGCTAAGCAAGCATTAGAAGTATGATAATTTTAACATACACTTATTTTGGAGGGAATTGTTTAAAGACGTACAGTTGGCTACTAACTAGTCAAAACAGTTATGTATACCATACTCATTAAGTGGACATGGGTTTAATTTCTGAGTATACCATAGTCATATGAATTAGACATAGGTTTATTTTTTGAACATCAGGAGGGCCAGCAGGAGAATCAGAAACACCAAAAACACCTTTTAAAAACTAGATCAATACACAGCCACATTCTGTGCAACTCTGCTATTAAAAAAGGGGAAAAATATTAAAAATATAACTATTTTTCGAAACATTTTAATCATTTTGTCATCCTCCAACTCTTCCTCCCTCCTACATACAATTTCTTGGAAACTGAAATGACACTCAACAGCAAATACAAAGCATACACCAATAGTATAGTCCACAGTTTTTCTAAAGAGTCAATAGTCCAGCAGTTTTAAAGTGATCTATGTGCAAAAAATAAACAAATGAAGGAGTTTCTTGAAAAAAAAAAAGTCCGCTGCAGCCTTAACTTCTACTTTAAAAAAGAATCTGAGGATTTACACTAAGTTTCCCAGTGGAGAACAGATCAGTAACTCCAAGTACTCTGCCTAACCTGTGACTTGGTGTTGCAAAACTGTCAACATCCCAAATTTACTACCTGCTGCAACTGGAAAACAGACTGTATCCCCATGAGAAATAGGAAAACCACTGTCCATAAACTGGTCTTCTGAGATACATAAACATTTGGTGCAGCTATGTATTCAGAGACTGCTACCTACAGTAGCTGGGAGAACAGTCCTCCCAGCATGACTAACAGTAAATTATTAACAATAAAATATGCAAGACTTCTAAGAGCAGTATTTGAAATGTTTCTGCCTGCTCAATGCCTCTAGGCCTAAACTATCTGCTCGTTAATAGTGGTGTAAGTCAGGGCAGCTCTGGTGAAGTTACAGTAGAAATCACTGTGCATGAGGATTTCTGTGTGAGAAGAACAGTTCCTTGAACTACAGACTAGTTCAGTCCTGACCACACTACAATAGGGAATTGTGTTTAAGCCATGAGTAATCATGCAATCATCTCCCAGCATAGTACTTCTTTTCTGCACACATGGAATGTAAATGACTGAGAATTACAACTGATGATTTTGCAGATTTAATGGATTATATCTGTCTAATGGTTCTGGCAATGCAAACTCAGTTAAAAAAACACCACCAAAAAGGCCAAAAAAAACCCCAGAACAAAAAACAACACAAACCAAACCCAAGCTCACTGCTGTCTGCTTTTCTCTTTATTGGATGACTTATCTGGCACACAGTTAGGATTTCTAACAGTGAGTAAGTCTTCAAAGACATTAGATTAGTTGGGCTGGGGTATGGTAAAGTCCAGGTGTGGAAGACACCACAACAGATGATAAAACTTAATCATGGTTGAGTGAAAAAGCAGATCTTATGTCTGTTATTAGTCTAGTAAATAGAGATGACACCCCACATCCTAAGCAAGGGTTGTGAAACAGAACAATCACCAACTCATAAAACGCCTTGAGTTTTCCAGATAAAAACTCAGAAGAGCAAAACATGAACAGTAAAGTCACTTGGTGTTTAATGGCTTTCAAAGTCACCTTCCAAAAGAGTTCAAACATCAAAACTATCTCCAACTCGAAAGCCACGTGGAAACATTTTCCCTTTTGCCTCCCACTGATGCATGGGACAGAGAAGCATTATGGAGGCTGGGGGGGGAGACCAGCTGCAGGAAGGTGACCGGCCTTTGCCAGGGTGAAGGACTAGCCCACCAGACCACAGAAGGAATCTCACCCAAAAACATAAGGCCTTGAGGAGAAGAATGAAGGCAAACACACTTGGCCTGATGCAAAACACTGAAGTACTGCAATGTCCAGAGAAGGGCAGTGGAGCTGGTGAAGGGTCTGGAACACAAGTCCTGTTAGGACTGGCTGAGGATGCTGGGGATGTTGAGCCTGGAGAAAATGAGACTCAGGAGGGACCCTTACCACTCCCTACAACTACCTGAAAGGATGGTGTAGTGAGGCGGGAGTCAGTCTTTTCTCCCAGTTAACAAGCAATAGCACAAAAAGACACAAGCTGTGCTAGGATAAGCCATTAGGAAATTTTTTTTCCACTGAAAGAGTGGTCAAACATTGGAATAGGCTACCCAGGGAAGTGGTGGAATCACCATCCCCAGAGGCATTCAACAAAAGCACAGACATGGGATTAGGGACATGGAGGACCTGGCAGTGTTAGGCTAATGGTTGGACTTGATGATCTTACAAGTTTTTGCCAACCTAAATGATTCTATGAAACCTCATACCTTAATGCAGGAAAATGGTGGTTCTGGTGCAGTTCAAAACACAGCCAAACTGGTTTTATTTGCCGAGGACAGCTAAATACCAACAACACAATTCAACCTGTGTTTCCAGTGCTGTTAGGCCCATACCACATACAACATTTAGCCTTGGTTTGTCTCCCCATAATGCACTAAAGTAAAACCAGACCTTAAGGAATAACTTGCATAGTAAGAAAAGGTCATCAATTTAATCATTTACTTTAAGCAGGCAAGCAAATTTGTAAACATTCAAAAGCGGCAGCATCCAAGTTACAAACAATTTAAGGAAAAAAGAATTGAGATTATTAAGGTTCTTTATCCTCTCAAAAATTTTGGAAATGAACTTTTAAAACACTGCAAACATTGAACACTCAGTTGCACTTCTAATCCTGCTAGCAATTCTGCCTTCCAAGGAATTCTGCTTCCTAAAACACATGATCTCACAGTTGCCATACTTTTTATCATGTGCCACTTGGAAGTCAGCTACCAGAACATTTTGCCTCAGTCTAAATACCATTAGCAAAGGGAATGCCTGTGTCTTGATTTAACATCTCTTTAACTTCTGAGGGTAAAGTGTCAAAGAGGTGATCTTCCACTACAAGCCCGCTTTTCCTGAGAAGCTGACACTGCCCCAGCGTAGCTGGCAGACGGTCCAAGCAGTTTCCCTTCAGTTCCAGGTAAGTCAGCTGCAACAGCTGACTTACTTTATCTGGGATTGAGGTAATACAGTTTTGTCCCAGACTCAAAGTCCTCAATTTAACACATTTAAACAACTGTTTTGGCAAAACGTCGACTTTGTTTCCTGTGATGTGAAAATGCTGAAGATTCTGAAGCAAACCTATTTCCACTGGAATCACCGCAATTGAGTTGTAGCTTACATCCAAACACCGAAGTTTCTGTAAACTGAACACTGCGGCAGGTAAGGTTTCAAGTTTGTTATTGGAGAGATAAAGAGACTCCAAATTCTTTATGTGAGTAATGGATGAAGGAATGCTGACTATTTTATTGTGCCACAGCTTTAAACAAGTCAATCTTTTTAAATGCTGGAAACTGATAATTTCTTCAATTGTGCGTATGCTATTTGACTTTAAATCCAGTTCCTGTAAGTTAGAGAGACTGAAGATAGCATGGGGAATTCTCTCCAGTTCACAGTTCTGCAGTTCCAACTCTGCAACATTTGTCATTTTCTTAAGGCTATTGAGTACCACAAGCTTAGTGCCATCATTATGAATGACTAGTTTTGTCAGATGTGGTGCTACATCTGTAATATTGGGGGGAATTTTGGTCAAATTGCTCTTCACGTGGAGAATTTTAAGGTGTCTCAACTCTCTGAGAGATTCAAGCCCTATCATTTTATTATTTTCAGAGTTCAAGTTGCCTATCAAATACAATTCACGGAGGGTTTTGAGCAAATACACCCACGCAGGAATTTCTGCAACATCTGTGAATTTCACATGAAGGCATCTCAAGTGGTCCCGGAGGAAGCTGAAGGCAGTCTGCTCGACCTTTGCAGGGCAGTGGTACAGATGAAGCTCCTGAAGATTTGTCATCTGGGAAATTTTGGCTGTTATTTTCGCTTCAGGAATCAGCTCCAGTTTCAACACATCCAGATCCGTCAGATCAAACACTGCATCGGGGACTCCCGACAGCATGAAGAGATGCAGCTCTTGCTTGTCCTGGGCATTGCGGGAGACGTGCTGCCGAAGCTTTTCATAAGTCCATTCGTGGTTTAAACTAATCCCGCGCAGTTTGTTCTCGCTTACCTCTGACAAAAAGACACCAAATCGCTTCGAATACAGCTGGTCATACTGATCTACCATGTGCAAGAGAAACGCAAAATCATTTTTGACATCTGGGATATCGCTGAAGCTACTCTCTTCTCTGACCTTTTCAAAAGAGTATTCTTTTAAAGGTATCCGGAACAGCCAGAAGAGCGTGTAGAGGCAGATAAAACCATAGACACAGATGAGGGAAATATAGCTGATAAGCAGCTTCTTCAACATATAAGCCATATTGTGTGTACATTCAAACTGTGTGTAGCCAATCAGGTGTTCCACTTTCGGGTTGCAGATGTGCTCAAAACTGATGGTGTTGACAAAGTTTGCAGTATAGCAAAGAATAAATATGAACTTGACAGTCTTGATGACAGTCTGGCCAACATAGAGCTTGTAAATCAGATCGCTGTCTTCCACGTGAGCCCGGAACTTACGGACTTTCTCAAACAGCGCCTTGGCTTGTTCTCCATCTTTCTTATCTAAAATTGTGACACTGGGAATCTCAATCATCGGCTTGTCGGCTGAAAACTTGAAGCCAGATTTGGTTATCATGGGAGTGCTAGCACTTGGGCTTCCTTCATCACTGCTAGTGGAAACATACTTGGGCAGGGACTGGGCACCAGTTAACCTCTGTTTGTTCTCCTCAGAGTCCTCACATGCCGTTTCAGACAACGCTTTTGTAGTCCAAGGAGATTCAAAGCACTTCCCCAGTATAGACACAAAATGCTCAATTTTTGAGCAAGTCTTGGGATACTTGAACCAAAAATTACTACTGACTATTAAAATGATAGTATGGATGAGAACAAGATAGGGAAAATACTTTGAGTACCAAGGAAGAGCCAAATGATAGCACATCTGGTTAATAAATACGTACTGCTGAAAATCCAAATTTGTTTTACGGCCTGAGGAATCTTTCTGCTCCTTCTTCAGCTCCTGGTCTGATTCAGTGGGTTGATACTGAGAAGAGGTAGCTCTGCTCTGAAGAATGTCAGGTGTTACAGTTACAGGGGCAAAGGAAACAGTTCTCACTGACGCTTCTTCTTGACCAGTGGTTGTTTCAACAGTGGTGAAGTCAGCCTTCCCTGCTGTATCAGGCTGAGCTTTTGAATTTACAGTAGACTGCAAAACTGGCAAGCAGACCACTTGGTCTTTTGTCAGCTGCATAGTTCCAGCAAAAATGGCAACCATTAACATAACAACAGCGAGATAATCCATAAATACATCCCACCATGGTTTCAAGATACGGTAAGTTGGCTGGATGTCACTGAGCGATGCAACTTCTGCAAGGGTAAACATTCCTACAAGAGAACAAAGACAAAATCACTGTTGTTGACTGGGGACATTAATTTTACCATTTAAAAACATCCCAGCATGATGTACACAACCTCAGAAGGTCTTGCTTTTTCTTATGTTTTGTTGCCTGTCACATATTGTCCATCATGCCACTTAACAGTTCTTCCAAAGGACATGACTAAAACAATGAAGTATTTTAGCAAAACAGAAGGCTTTGCACTTCAGACCACATCATGTTTACATATCTTTGCCACTTCACAGCACTGAAGCCTGCTCTCTGCAAATGAAATATCTGAAAGGTATAATACTGTAGCTAATATGTATTAATAAAAGGAAAGAGCAACAATAGACTACAGAGCACAAAATCCAATTCTGTAAAAATGACTGCTTGAGTCTGAGCACAAAAAATTCACTACTAACAGTATTTCATATTACCTTGCATTTAAACAAAATAGCATTTTTCTAAATACTTTATGCTCTGCTCATGACTTGGACAGCACATTTTAGGTCTTGTTACATCATCAGCAAGGTCTCTCATTTCTGTTCATCTAGCACAACACAGTATCTTCCACTCCTTCCTACTGAGCATCCATATATCTTATTAGATTGATTGGCTCCTTTCCCTTTTAAGTATCACTACAGCACAAGTGTAAGCCTTGCAGCCACTATGTGAACATTTGGCACAATCCTTTTTAATATACTTGGATGTTTTAAAGTAAAAAACAGCTGGATGGGGACTTGAGCAACCTGATCTAGTGAGTGGCATCCCTGCCCACGGCTGGAACTAGACGCTATTTTTAGGAACCTTCCAAATCAAGCCATTTCCATTTCCCAAACCATTGGATCAAATATTGGTACATTTTTCTCCCCAACTGATTTAACCCAGCTAACCAAGAACAAACCCCACAGATCTTTATTAATGTAATAGGGAAAACATTTTTTCAGATGATCCTCACATCCTAATGATCACAGGAAGCCAGTTAGTACACGTAGGACAGGAGCTTACTGCAAGGCTTTCACTTTGTCTTAATCTTATGCATGTGACACAAAGCAGCAAACTGACCACGGGAGAATCCAAACCTCTCTGCAGCTTTAAATAACTTGCTTTGCTTTTTGTTTTGACAAAATATGGAGGAATCAACTTATCAGCTTTAAAAAAAATAAGCTTTCTGCACAAGCAGGATGTGGTAAAATCATCATTTTGACTGCTGAACGTGTGACCCAAAGTTGCCATTTCTAAAGAAAAATATCTAGCTTGTGTGCACACATGCAGCTGGGAAGGAGATAGTATGCACACTATCCAACAGAGTCGGTCTCCCTTTGCTGGGGACAAGAACAGCTTAGCAGAGCCCAAGGAGATCAAAGCAGGCAGTAACAAAATGCACTAGATTTATTATTTTTAACTTGCAGCATAACAGTTCATACAGACCTGCACCTTACACATTGTAAAGACAGTGTCAGAGGCAACATATCTATAGCGTGATAATTTAATTATTTCTGGATAACCGACTCTTCTACACACAGAATTCAAATACCAGCAATTGCCTATATAGTAAAAGTCATGCACTAGCACCCCTTCTTCCCCACACCAGTACAAGCAACTGCCACATCTCAGTCAGTGGGAAAGGCTAGCACTTGTCTTTACTACCACGGAGCTCATGATCAAAGTGTCTCCTCCAACACAGGGAGATATCCAGCCCCTGCCCTCCCACACTCCTCCCAGAAGCTTTACCAGTCCTGCATACCAACCCTGCGATCTGGTGGAGGCAGCCAGAGAGGAAAGGACTTTATCTCACAGCAGCACTCATCTTGGTGCTCTTGGCACAGCTGCCAGAACTTAAAAGTTAGGGCTGAGTTTCTCAGGGAACCAGCAGAAGGAGCTTCCAGTTCTCACTTTATTTTCCAGTGGGCAAATGAATGTCAAATACTCCTCCCTCATTATAAGTTTCTGAGGTCTTACAGTCCCTCCCAGCTCCACAAGGACCTCCTTCCTGAGAGGTTTCTGAGCCTGCCCCCACACACCTCCCAGGGCTGCAGCTGCTGTACAGAGTGCTGAAGGACACCGACCAGTAACACACCCCAGATATCAAAGCCCTGCAGTGCCTCACTTGGAAGTGAGCTACAAATTCCCATCTTTAATGGCTCCCAGTGCTTTACCTACACCGAGTCACAGCATGACTGCTTGCCCTGGAATTGCTACCTTTGACATTTAAACAGGAACAGTGTGCACATGAACAGCATTAGCCATTTGTGCTAATGTGAAGAGATTGATAAAAAAGGACCCTGCTAACTCCTAGGGCCCAACTGCCTGTCACCTGCCCAGAACAGGAGAATCACAAAGCAGCAGCAGAGGTGATTTTTTTCCACTGAATGGATTTCTTTTCTTTCTAGGAAGCTCTATGGAAGGCATACTCTCGATCTCCACGCTGTTTTCACAGTGGTCTCGCCTACCTTGGCTGCCACAAGACCTTCTCGCCCAGGAGGCGAGTTCAGCAGGAGAGCACAAAGGCAAAGGCAGGGCAAGGAGAGTCCCCGGCACAGGCCAGCTACTGCTCCTTCCTCCGGGGCTCGCCCTTCTCTCAACTCTGCACTAGCTAATTACATGGGAAATTACTTCACTGCGGTTTGGGGCACGGCCTCCAGAATTCCTTTCATAAAAAGGTGATTTTTTTTTTTTTTTTTTTGCTTCTGCCATGAGAACATGTGGATAAAGCTTGGAAACACTGCAGACATGACTGCTCTAAACAACTGAAATAATGGAAAAAAAGTGACAGAGCACAAAGTGGTTCCAGCTGAAGACTTAGAAAGAACAGCAATAAAAGCAAAAGTTAAAAATCACCTCTACCAGACCTCTGCCTTGAATACACAAAATCATTGCCAAAAAGGTTAGGAGATACAACAGAGCCTGAGTAATCCTCTTTGTGAGGCTGTAGGCAGCATGGTGTAACAGGAGCTTTACACCAAGAAGTACCACATTCAGTGTTCTGAACTCATCTTTTCTTTCAAGTTACTGATACTCGGAGAAGAGCTCCTGTTTTGGAAGAGATTAGCAGTAATAAAACAAAAAACTCCTCTGTGGCATTACTAACACTGTCTCATAAAAGACAGACCTTTTTCTAGCTAGCAAAAATCAGTTCCAAGAACTGAAAACAGATTTGTCTCCTTATATATCAAAACTGTTTAATGTTCTGAGTCTTAAGAACCAAAGTGAAAAACTATAAACCTAGACACAGTATAAGACACATTCTGACAGGCTGCAAATAAATTTGATATTTTCTCTCTTAAATCCACTATAGTATATATTGGTGTTTGATTTTATTAAACTAACAACCATAGAAGTTAACTTTTATTATATTTCTGCACACACTTAGAAATCAAACAATTAAAAGACACTCAGAACCACAAGTCTGTACAGCATGTAATGGGTTTGGATTTTCTTTATTCCATTTGAATTTAAACTATTCAAAGCTTTTGAAACCTACTGTCTGGAATATTCCTTAGAGTAGGTGGAGAGTATTTTCACTGCTAATTTTCAAGTCCTTTTAAGAGTGACAAACTGGGCTTTGAGTTTCATTCTAAGTGATAACACTGTAAGGAAGTAAGGAAAAAAGAAAGATACAAATGCCAGTCTGTGGCTGGCAGGCAGAGCATGCAACACCCTGCCATAGGTGGTCTTCCCTCAAAACCAGTCGTCGCATGTTCTATTTACAACCCCAGTGCAGAAAACATCTGCAAGCAGGTGGGTCAAACTGAAGAACAAAGTCCTGTGCAGCTGAAATGTTAAAATACTTGATTTCTCATGGTGAAAACATGCACTTCTTTCAGCCCTTTTCAGGGCTTACAAGGCACCAAATGGACCTGAAGGGTCAGCAGAACATGGGGCTTTGACATACCCAAGATCCAAAGAGAGCCACACTAGAAAAGTGAGGTTCTTGAAGAGAAATTTTCTCATTCTCAATATGGAATGTCAGGACAGACTCCTTTTTTTAAAAATAGCACATTTTTGTTTCATTTTAATAAGCACAGATTTTAATTCAAAGATATTGCAGTATGATCCTTAGGGCTGCACAGCTACATAAGGGCTTTTATTTTAACAAATAACCTTTTTTCCTCCCAAACTCTGTCTCCAGTTCTCTAACAGGGATGGCATTCTATCTGTAATTGGTACTATTTCTTTCAGCTCCATCTATCACTTCTAGCTATCTACTGGGTGTATTCTTTCTCCTAAAACAAACAAAAATTTTTTAGCCTAAATACATGCCTAACTGCTCTAAGCACAGCTGTTTCTTGCTACCTTCTAAGATTTTCGGTGTAAAAACTTGAAGTTCTGAAAGTAGTGCAGTAGTGTGATTTGGAGCTCTAGAATTAAACCTACTTAGTTTATTTTGCAGTTATACAAGTTACAGCGAAAGAAAAAAATTAACAATGACAACTGAATTGTCATAGGTCCACATTAAATCAGCAGGGGTAGCAACTAATTTAATAAATCATTCTTCTTAACAATTATAATAATTTAATTAGTCTTAAACAAAAGCTCTAATAGAAAGAGGTCAAAATGAGATTAGCCTGGTGAATTTCTGACACATTTCAGACTATAAATGCTGAAATACAAAATGCACATATTTGGGATATTTCCTAAGAAACTGTTCTAGCTTAAATAGAAGTTAGCAGAAAAGGAAGCAGCAGATTGGTATGTCACTAATGTTTATTTACATCCTACTTCTTCCTGTACTTACAGATAAAAACTGTCTGTCTTGTAACTAACTGGCCCTCCTGTCTTAAAACATATTTAAAGTTAAAGCAAATTCAAAGTCAGAACAAACAAATAAAAGGAGAATTGTAGCACATGATACACTCATTTACTCTCAGGTTCCCAAGACTCCAAACAAGTCCACTTTGTTTCAGGAAACAAAAAGATTCCTGAATCCGCCTTGTTACTGCATCTGGTAAAGAATTTCCTAGAAAAACCTCAACATTTCTAGCTAAAAAGTGCTACCATGAACAA